ACGTGTTTTTTTTATACCCCCCCCCCCCCCCTCCCTGTTGTCTCTTATGGGGGGTCGTATATAACCGAAAAGGGTTTTTCAGATTTTGCAATAATACGTACGTTTGGATGGCAGGTTAAAGCTAACACTTCTAGTCCAGTGGCTGAGCCAGTTGCAGCTTAAGTTTCAAGGAGCCGCTGTGATGGATTCATAATTTATAGGATTTTGCATAAGTTTCTGATTGGAGCTTGTTGGCTTGATTTTCACATGTTGTGTTGTGCAATAGTCTAGAAAGCAGTTTCTTGTTCAACCTTTCTGCAAGTGCGCACGCACATACATTAGTTAGTTGCCTAAATGAATTTGGCGTAGAAACAATTTTGTTTTCTAGTTTGTTAGCGTTTAAGCTTTGGTATATATTGGTTGCACTTGGAAAATATTTTTTTGTGAGGACATTGTAATCTCTAAGTTACAATTACTCACTCACGCATTGAGCAACGAAAAGGAATGTGGCATTTGTCTTGATATTGACACTGTCCTATAAGTTACTGTAATGTAGTAATGTGCTATGCGCTGCGCAAATATGCTTTCATATAATGATGGGAAAAAGAACAGCTTACAAAGATGAAGGAGCGGAAACAAGAGTTGTTAGAAAATGAACAAAATGAAGTGAAGAGCACTCTTAGGACCCGTTTGATCATAGGTTTCCCAAGTAAAATTTGGGGAAAAAATTGGCAAATAGTGTTTTTTCATATAATTTGTCATTATTTGGCAAATAACCCAAATTCCCAAATACTAGAAAAAATTAGTATTTGGATCAAATCTCATTATTTGGGAGCTATTAAAAATTCAAATTCTACACTAAACTTTTATCTTTTGCAAAAACACCCTATTTAGTTGTTGTGTTGCGCTGTATTACATAATTTTTTACGTGAACAACAAAACAATGATGGAATATGAAAGTGATGAAATGACGAACAATGACTTAGGATAACAAAAGTCATTAGCTTTGTCTACTTCACGATGTATGGAATGATGCTTGTTGCACTCGCTCCGAACTACCACATTGCTCCAGTGTCATGAACATTACTTGTTATTTGTTGCAATAAGATCCAATTGACTTGTTGCGGAAGTCATGAATATTATTACGTTGACGTTTCTATCTTGCTAATACAAATCTATGGTTAATTTTGATAGTTTTTAAAATTTATGGGTATAAATCATTTTTAAAAAAAAGTGAAATATGTTTTCCAAATACTATGGGCAAACATATGATGAAATTTCACCCAAATAATATTTTCCAAAAATATTTAAAAATTTATTGCCAAACGCTTGCTTAATTTTCCGCCTTATCATTGGACATAATATTGATGTGTTAAAATTAAAAATATTCTTTTATATGATAATATCAAATATATATATATATATATATTTAGATATCAAATATTTTATAACTTTGAAAATAAACAATAATTTATTAACACAATTTTTGTGTAAATATAGATTATTATATAAAATTGGGTGATCCAATTTCCACCAAAAAGTAGATGTGTTGATTCTTGTGCTTGGTATCCTACCACTCTTTTTACACGGTGGAAGTATTTTTAGGGGAGGGGATTATAAGATTATATGGGGTGTTGAAACTTTATATTGGGATAAAGTGATGATTGATATGAGTATTGCGATAATTAAAAGTAGAAATTTATTTTTAAAATAGAAAAGAAATAAAAGTAAATAAAATTAAAAAAAATAAAAATTTACGTAGGTATAAATAAAGAATACATCGACAAGGGGGTGTTAGGTTGACTAGGGTTGGGCACTTATATATGAAGACAAAAAGCAAAGCTCACCCCATTAATTCTCTCTCTCCACGCCAGCCAGGTGTTAGCGTTTCGAGGAGGAGAAGACATCAAAGCACTTCTCCTTCAATCAATTCTACAGATCAATCCTTAGGGCTTTGATTGGGTTCTTTCGGATCGGAGGAAAAGCGAACCGGATCAACGATGTTCTTGGTAGATTGGTTCTATGGAATTCTGGCAACCCTTGGTTTATGGCAGAAGGAGGCTAAGATCTTGTTTTTGGGTCTCGATAATGCCGGAAAGACCACCTTGCTCCATATGTTGAAAGATGAGGTCTCTTGCCGTTTTCTCCCTTCTTTTTTTTTGTTTTAATTTCCCCTATTAGATATGTTGTATCATACAATTTGCGCCGTTGATTTTAATTTACATATCTAGATGTGATTATTTGTATCACAGACGGTGAAGAAATGGAGCTTCATCTGATTTTCTGAATTCTCCAACTTTCACCTGAAATTGAATTTTCCTTGATGTGGCTTTATGGGTCTTATGTGAAAGAGTTACAAGTTTGATTAGTTTGAAAAGACCTGTTTTTTCTGTTATTGGTTACTTGTAATCTTGAATCTGAGATTGAGGTTTATTGAATTATGGCAGAGATTGGTTCAACATCAGCCAACACAATACCCAACGTCAGAGGAGCTTAGTATTGGAAAGATCAAGTTCAAAGCATTTGACTTGGGTGGTCATCAGATTGCTCGCCGTGTTTGGAAAGATTATTATGCTAAGGTGTGTTGCTATTTCTTTCTCTTCTTGTCTTAATTTAGATATTTGACTTGCGAACCGTATATTATTTGTTTCTTAGGGTGGTATTTATTGGTTGGGATTCTGTTAAGCAGTGGTGCTCTTTGGTTCCATACTTGCTAAGTTATCATTTTTACTGGAATATGCCATTAGTGCTTGTGTGTTAAGATTTATGTAGTGATGATGGTTAACATGGTCTGCAAATTGACAAGTTGATTGTGAGTTCATCTTCTTGTCCACTAATGTTGGAGACTGGTTAGACAAATGATGAATTATTTACTGGAGAAAGAATTCTATTAAGTACGTAACAGGTTGTTATTGCTAAATTCATTAATGCGCTCTCATCAACTGCTCTTTGTTTCCAGGGAAATAGTCCTCTACTCCCGCTGCTCTATCTTCATTCCTGATTTCTATTTTCAGGAATTTTGAAATGTTTGTGATGCTTTAACAAGAAGTTCTGGTATCAATATAGATATCTTCAACATGTACTAAGAAGTTTTCCAATCTTCTTGTAAAGAATACTTTAGCTAATATAATTTTAATTCAGGTTATCCAGGAACTCAAATTGTTTCTTTGATATTCATTTATTATTACAAGTATAATGCTTAAGGCAACTTTTCTTAACTTTTTTTCCTAGATAGTAGTTAATGCCTTCATAATCCCAAATAAACTTCTATCTGTTTATTTGATTCATGGGAGGCATATATTGATATTGGGAGTTCGCTGATAGCACCTTACTTTTTTCCAGGGGGTGTTTCAATAGTACCTCTCCATACACAAAATTATCTTGTTGATGCAGAACTTCATTTAGGAAATTCTTTTTGAATCTTTATATGGATAACATAGGTATAATGGATCCCGTGGTTTTTAAGTTCTAGCCACCCAAAGAGCAGATTTTGACTGGCTGCAGCCATTTCATCTGCAAAGTGTAAAGAAGTTCTGGTGTCAAATAAAGACGTGAAAAATTACTCTTCCCGGTTGCTTTCTGTTCTGCTTTCTTATAATTCTTGAGCATCCTTCAAAATGACTATCTTAAGATCTTTTATCCATGTCGGAACAAAGTTAGCTCTATTTCTTGTTAAATCTCTTATATAAAATTTCACTAATTGTTTCCATTGTTGTTATTGGTACAATTCTCAGAATTGACATTTACTGATTTAAGATGGAAGAGAAATTATGTAATTGAAGAATAGCTTTCTGATGTAGGATTAGTTTTTATGTGAGATAGCCAAGTATATACTATTTCACTGTCTTGCAATGATGTACTTTTGAAGCTTGTCAAACGGGCATATCTAATAAAGATATTCAACAGAAACAGCAGAGAGGGAATCACAGATGCAATTCCTTTGTTAATGACCCTTGTTCATACTTGTTTTCTGAAACTAGGTTTTTGTCAGATCTGATCTAAGTTGGTTTTAGACATCTGAAAAATGCATGGCTCACATGACTCCATATGAAATAATGTTTGCTAGTCTTAAAGCATTTGCCTGCAAAATCTAGAATTAGAAAATGGAAATTTGATCATGTATCTTCTCTATGAAATACAAAGTGCTATTTGACAATTATCTGGTGTTGTGCTTATTGTAACATGTGTTTTTTCTGAAGGTGGATGCTGTTGTATACTTGGTGGATTCTTATGACAAAGAAAGGTTCGCCGAGTCTAAGAAAGAGTTGGATGCTCTCCTCTCTGACGAGTCCTTGGCCACTGTGCCATTTCTTATATTGGGTAACAAGATAGACATCCCTTATGCTGCCTCAGAAGATGAACTGCGTTACCATTTGGGGCTAACAGGCGTCACCACTGGCAAGGGGAAGGTAAACCTGGCAGAGTCCAATGTCCGTCCACTTGAGGTGTTCATGTGCAGCATAGTCCGCAAAATGGGTTATGGGGAAGGCTTCAGGTGGATGTCTCAGTACATCAAGTAATCATCCTAGGGAGTGAGATTTGTTATTCTGTTTTAAGTCTTATTTTTGTACTGGATAAGTTGAAGATGTCTGTTTATCTCTATGGGCTAAATAGTTTCGGTTTTTTCCCCAGGTTTTCAGTGAAACAGTTAAAAACAGTGTTCTATTATATATGTCTAGTCTACATTTTTCTTTTCATTCATAGTTGTTATTTCATGTGTTCCGTTTTTGTTCCTTCAAGTAATTTGTTTCTCCCCAATTATTGGATATAAAAGTTAATTAGTGTGGGAGTAGTTCACTAATATTCATCTACCAACAACTTGCAGCGAGGCTGCTATATATATACTACTACCAATGCAGCTTTCTGCCTAAATATACTAAAGTTTTAACATAGTTTATTTGTATATATGGGTTGGGAAAAAGTAATTAAGCCTATAATCCTATTCTCATCACAAGATACTTTTATTGTTTTTTTCCTTCCTCTTTGTTTTAAAGCGTTGAAGACAGAGATGGGATGGGCACCCAAACCCCCTTCTTACTACCCTTTCAGAAGGTGATGCAAAAGGATAGAGATTTTGGTACGTAATGTTAGAAAGTAGCCTACATTCGAGAGGGAGAAGGTGATGCAAAAAGGATTGAGATTCTGGTACGTTATGTTAGAAAGTAGCCTACATTCGAGAGAGAGAAGGATTAGTTTGTGTGATCGAAACCCTCTCCCTATCTAACCTCTGTTGCCTTGCTGTAACTCTAAGGAGAGGGACTTTGCCTCAATCCAATTGATTTCTCTATTATTCTAGGAGGCATCCATCCCAAATAAACTTGCCATCGAAAGATTTATAATGAAAAGTATTTGTGTATCTTCCTCTATTGAGATTATGTTTGCATGCTAGATATGTATAACACTTTTTTCCTACCAAGAATCTGTGTATATTGCTTGTGAAATGTAAGCTTCTTTAAAATTGTACACTGCACATATTAAAGGCGAACAGGGGATGTAGCTCAGATGGTAGAGCGCTCGCTTAGCATGCGAGAGGTACGGGGATCGATACCCCGCATCTCCATTTCTTTTGTTAAAACACCCATCTCTTCACTTATAAAATAAAATAATAATAAAAAAAAACCTGCCACTATTAATAAAAGGTTTAGAAAGTAATAAAATTATATGTTAGTGAGTCATTATATGAGATATAAAAGGTTTAAAAAGTAATGATACGATTATAAATTTCATTTACATATGAATAAATGGTTAGTAAATACATATGTGTGATTGTTTTTACAAAATATAAACTTGTGAGTCAGTTTTTGTATTTGAAATTCTCAAATCATGATTTTTGGAAAATTTGAGATTCATCGCATATCCAAACACTGATTTCATCTCATGATTTCATATCACATGTCTAAATGCCTACTAAATCATTTTTGGAGAATTTGGGATTCATCGCATATCCAAACGTTGATTTCATATCGCATATCCAAACGTTGATTTCATACCGCATGTCCAAACGCCTACTAAATCATTTTTGGAGAATTTGGGATTCATCGCATATCCAAACGTTGATTTCATATCGCATGTCCAAACGCCTACTAAATCATTTTTGGAGAATTTAGGATTCATCGCATATCCAAACGTTGATTTCATATCGCATATCCAAACGTTGATTTCATATCGCATATCCAAACGTTGATTTCATATCGCATATCCAAACGTTGATTTCATATCGCATATCCAAACGTTGATTTCATATCGCATATCCAAACGTTGATTTCATATCGCATATCCAAACGTTGATTTCATATCGCATATCCAAACGTTGATTTCATATCGCATATCCAAACGTTGATTTCATATCGCATATCCAAACGTTGATTTCATATCGCATATCCAAACGTTGATTTCATATCGCATATCCAAACGTTGATTTCATATCGCATATCCAAACGTTGATTTCATATCGCATATCCAAACGTTGATTTCATATCGCATATCCAAACGTTGATTTCATATCGCATATCCAAACGTTGATTTCATATCGCATATCCAAACGTTGATTTCATATCGCATGTCCAAACGCCTACTAAATCATTTTTGGAGAATTTAGGATTCATCGCATATCCAAACGTTGATTTCATATCGCATGTCCAAACGCCTACCAAATCTTTGTTTTTTACATCAATAGGAAAGAATTACAGCATCTTTTATCCATCTTTGGAGAGAAATTAGAGCAACAAGGAATGGGAGATGGAACCTACACTTCGTGACTTGCACACTTTAACACATTTTCCTTCTCTTCTACCCTATGTCTCCACACCTAACATATTTGCCGCTATACCTACACTTATGAGTTCAGTTCACTTTCATGTATTCAAAGGTCAATCCCTTCAATATGTTTCTTTCTCCTTGGCGATTCATTGATATCGTTGCAGAAAGCAAATCAATTAGGAAGAGCCCTTCATTGAAGGGACCATATCTATCTATCAGCAAGGAGCAAACACCCTTAGTTTAAGATGCAGCCAAGGGATTAGCCACATAATGAAGTCGAAAAATGATCAAACAATTGTGCTCTGTCCTGGCGCTTTTTTAATGCTATTTCCGCTCATCAATACTCTCACCTTTTCAACGTCTTCCCATTTTCCTCTATCAGCATATATATTGGATAACAATACATAGTTGCCGGAATTCCAAGATTCAAGTTTAATAAGTTCCTTAAGTGCGTATTCAGCCAACTCCATTTCACCATGAGTGCGGCAAGCACTAACCAATGCACCCCATATAGCTGCATTTGGTTCCATTGTCATGGTTTCCACTAGTTTATGAGCCTCCTTTAGACAGCCACCACGACCTAGAAGATCAACCATGCATCCATAATGCTCAATTGTTGGTTCTATATCATGATTAGCAATCATAGAATCAAATAAATCTCCCCCTCTTTGGACCAAACCTGCATGTGCACAACATGCAAAAGCCCCCACATAAGTCGAATCGTTAGGTCTCACACCTTCATCTAACATCTCATCAAACAATTGTACTCCCAATTCACCCTTCCCGTTAAAAGCACAGTTTGATATCGCAGCATTCCAAGAAACTACATTTTTTCTAGGCATGTCATTGAATATTGTAATCGCAGTCTCCAAATCACCAGATTTTCCAAAGAAATCAACCAATGCATTGCCAACGGATACGAGATTGGGATAGAGGCCTTTAGACTTAGCATAAGAATGAATCCACCTTCCCAAATCAAGTTCTCCTAATTGAGCACAAACAGGTAACACAGTAACAACAGTAGCTTCATCAGGCTCAAACTCACCATTCCTCATCTCATGGAAAAGTGCCAGAGCCTCCTTCTCCCTCCCATTTTGCGCTAACAACGAAATCATCAAATTCCAAGAAACAACAGTCCTCTCACCCATTTGCCTAAACAGCCCAAGTCCCATATCCACATTTCCACTTTGAGAATAACCCTTAACCATCAAATTCCAAAGAATCACATCTCTGTGAGGCATTTCATCAAACACCTTCTTCGCTTCCATCATCCTCCCACATCCAGAGTACAGCTCAACAATCCCAATCCTTATCGACCCAAATCTGCCAAACCCAAGTGCAAGAACATGCTTATGTACTCCTTGTCCCATTTCCAAGTCCTCAAGATTAGCACAAGCCTTGAGCAAAGGGGCGAAAGTGAACTCATCAGGCCAAATGCCACGTTGTTTCATAGTGGAAAAGAAGACGACAGAATTTTGATAAGGGCCACATAAAGAGTAACCTTTGATCATGGAATTGAAGAGAAAGATGTTGGGATTCTGGAAGTGTTGAAATATGAGGGATGCATAAAGCATTCTGTTAAGGGAACCGCAGATGGAAATGAAGTGGGAGATGAGCTGGTTAGAGTGGTGAAGGTGATGGCGAAGGATGTGGGCATGGATTTGAGTGAGTTGGGTTCGAGTTTTTTGGCCGTGGAGCAGCCGGAGAATCCTCCGCTCAACCTCTCGGCTCCCTCTGTTCATTTGAAGAAGAAGAAGCACAGTTAGTGGAGAGTGAATGAGAGTAGGATTTAACCTTGACGGGAAATACTCTTGTTTGGCTGGTTCGTATTTTACAAATAACAATCAAATTATTTGTATCAAATTTTTAAATTTATAAATCAAATTAAATTAATGAAATTCGGGTTCTTTATGGGGTTTTGGGATTATTTTTTTTCCAGTTTTCTCGATTAAAGTATTTATAAAATATATAATTAACTTGTTTTAAGGTATTTCTTAAAAAAATAAACAAATATGAAATTAGTGATAATACTAAAATATGCAACAAAAAATAACAATGAAATCGCATAAATAGCAAATTAAAATGTCACAATGAAAATTATCACAATTTATAAAAATACAAAATCATGTTAAAATAAGTCTAATAAGTATTAATTATATGATTAAAACTAGGTTATGTATTTTAAATATATAAATCAATATAAAATTAAAGAACAAATATTCAACATTACTATCATTCTTAGTGTTGAACTATTTTTTTTTGTTAACACTAGTATTGATTTGATTTTTATTAGAGTTGCATTAATCTATGGGCTATAACTTTTATTGGACTATTCCAAATTCCAAGTATCAAAAAGTTCAAAAGTTAAAAGAATTATGAACAAATATAAGAAATATTTTTAGAAATAATATCATAAATACTTTTAGGTATTAAATAATTTTAAAAATTATATATACAATGTCGGATTGATTTGGTCTAGTGTTGACTTTTCTTTAAAGTAAAATCAAACTAATCCAAGTATAGTCAACTATTTTTTTTAATACCAAATCAAGTTAAGTCAAATTATTAGTCAAATATTTTTCTTATTTGACTCGATTAACGATTTGATTAAATTTTTTATTCGATTTTGTATACCGATGTAACGAAACTGTACCATTGTGGAATGGATTGAAAACCACAATTGATATTGAAAGCCACCAATATCCCCTTTTTTTCTTTTTTTCTTTTTTTAAGTTTAAATTTGGACTCTGAGTCTATTTTATTTAATAAAAAATGGGCTCCTAAATGAATCCGCACATAAATATACCAAAAAAAGACTTGATCGGCCCAAAAGTGGTCAGACTAGGTGAATACAAAAGAACCCTAAATGATAGGGTTTTATAATTTTGTGCTCTCCGCCTCTTCTTCTCCTTGTTTTCATCGCCTCTGTGGAGATGTT